ATAAGGTGCAGCTTTTTGTACATGCTGAAAAAATAATACATTTAAGAAAAAAGTGTGATAAAATAGCTAAATCAAGCTATTCTGAATAGCTTAATAAAGCTAAATAGCTAAATCAAGCTACATAGCTAAATCAAGAGATTGTGTCAGACCTGCACCACAGCTATACAGTACACAAAGACTCAACATGCTATTATCAGATTATAGTCAGTTAACTACATCATGTACATATAGAGAAGTTGTTTTTCTTTTTATATTTTTCTTTTTCTCATTCTGTTGCAATGATTATATTACAGCTTCATCCAAATTTTTACTTCTGACAACAGATTAATTGTGTATATGAGTAATGCTTGTTCAGAAACTAAGCAGGATGGAAACCTTCCATGTTGATGACCAAGTGTTATACTCAGGGTTGTCTCTAAGTCCCGGGGGCTGGGGAATTTACCCACCTATAATGATGTAATCCCCCCGGTTATTTCGGTATTCCTCCTAAACTCCCCAGTAAGGGAGGAACCCCAGTTCCCCCTCTACTTTTTAAATGTCCCCTTCTTTTTCAATTCTTAGGGACAACCCTGATTATACACACACCTTTACCAGTCAAATAAATACTTTTATCAAAAAATCTTTTAAAAGAATAAATGAAGACAAGTTTCTGAATGTATTTACCCTAACATACTATTACCATACCCTTTGTCACTTGAAATGTCCATGAAATCACCAGTTTTTCAGTTCTGAGAGTTTCTTTCAGATTTTCATTTGAAAAATATTCAGTTATCTGGAAAATTTTCTTGGACGAACTGGGCAGCGATACCATATCCCCCAGCAACACGTCCAATGATTATCTTCAGAATGCAGTTGAACATCTGCCACTACTGACAAACAGATTTGTCAAATCTACTGCTTTGGGGACAAGACGTGTCCAGAATTACGTCGAGAAAACTGTTCCTACCTACAGTGATCCTATGTTTAAGGCTCATTTTAGAATGAGCCGTACATCTTTTGAGGTAAATTGTGTCTTTAGGCATTGTCAAAACAATTAATGATACCCAAAAGTCATTGCTTTGTAGAAATGGATATGGAATTAAATACATAAGTTGGACTGTCTGAAAATGTAATACCTTCAGGTGTTATAACTTTTAAAAAAAACCAAATTTTTGTCAATGGATAAATTACATTTCTTCACTGATGAAAATTTAATAATGATATCAATATGTGACATTAGTAGTAATGGGCATAAGTAAATCCAATTCTTTTATTACCCCCGCTCCGAAGGAGAGGGGGGTATACTGTTTTACCCTTGTGTGTCTGTCTCTCAGTCCGCCTAGCTGTCTGTGTGTTCTGTCCGTAACAAAATTTGGTCGCAGTTTTCTCAGCAACTACTCATCGCAGATGCTTGAAATTTTAGCACACTCTTTGTTTTAGCATGCCATATCTTGGGATTCATTTTTGTACGAATCTGATGTCAACTTCCAGATTATCTTTGTGTTTGTCCATTACTGATCAGAACTTGTTCATTCACATCAGAGCGGGGGTATTATTAGTGAGCACTGGCTCACAGACTTCTTGTTTGATAATTCATGCTTCCAAATACATGTATTAATCACAATATACTTGCATTTATGTGTACAGGACTTAATGCTAACTTTATTTGTTTATACTGATATTAATAGTTGGGACATTGCAGAAGAAATATATAAGTCATTTACATTGAAAATGTAATTTTTTCTGCAATAATTGCAACCGCTGACCCAGGGGCCTCTGAAATAAAGAAAAAAGAAACTAAACATGGAAGCAGTCATGTGGAATCTTGAATTGAAGTGATCAATTGGTTTGCATTGACTTTTAAGTCTGTATTGCATATTGTGCATTTCTTGATGGGTGCCCATTTACATAGATTTAATTTTTGATGTTACAAATAAATGTATTGATGCAACTACATGTGCATTGCAATACTTTAATTCCATTATTTTATAAGTAAGTTATTAATGTTGACAGAACACTTATTGCCTTCCCTCCCTGGAGAGGTTATTTTTATTTTTTCAGTATATTGGCAGAATAACTCCCGGACTATGGGGTAAAGCATGGGCTTAATCATATCATTAACCCAAATTTAATCTACAAAAAATTATTTTTATAAGAGAGAGAGAGAGAGAGCAGACGAAAAAAAGATGTACTGGTTTTTAGAGGGTTGAAGTGGAGTGCTCAAATAACTCCTAAAATGCCATCAAAAAGAGAAAAAAGTGAAAGGCTTTCATGATTATAGTTACCGTAAATCTGGAAATTTTTGACTGTAGATAAATTTTAAGCAAATTTGCGCGTGCACTGCATTCGCAAAAATATTTTTCTTAAAAATAAATCAAAAACAAAGAATGTAAACAAAAATTTTGCTGACATCTGGTGAACAGGAATTCGTAGGCAGCGGTCGTTTTAAGAAATCTGTTTATACTACAAGAAAGTTACCAATGATAATCTTTGCTTTAACTACATACAATATTGTCCGATCGTTTGGCAGACAGTATGTCTCTTTTGAATTATTTCTCTAAGAAAGAGAGGCCAGTTGTTTTATCTAACTACGAATCCCTAGCACGACAGTTTGTTAACGAAGAACTTACTCCCGTGTATAATGAAACCCCGACGAAAGAAAGGAGATTGTATGTACATGCGTAATTCATTGTATGCACATACGTAACTTGTAAACTGTTATGAAAATTTTAAGCGCTTTTTATTTTTAGCACCAATGACAATTCGCAAAATTTTAAAAAGTAAAAATTAATCAACACCATTTTGACCCAGATTCGCAAAAATAAATCGACGTAAAAATTTCCAGATTTACGGTATTTAATTGTTCAGATTTGGTGGAGGTGTTTACTTTTTGAATTTATCATGTTTAGTTATGAGAACATACTTTTTTTTTAACTATGTGATAGCTTCTATCTTTTCATAGAAACCTATATGTGTTGCTAACAGTCTGATATGGGGACCTGTGGGTTCAAATCCCACCACTGCTTACTTGGTCAACAGTAGTGTATTTCATATGGGAGGTCTCTATTGCCTTGCTAACCATTACCCTTCAAGTCTTGTTTTTGTGTCTATCCTGTCATATATTTTGTTTGATTTCCAAAATGTAATATGACTTAAAATGTTATCATTAATTGATAAAACTTATTATGTCCAGTGTCTAAATAAGATTTAAATTTTAAACTGAAAGTTTATATAATTATATAACATTTGATTTACTTACAAACATGCCTATATTTTATTTTAAGACCTCATGTAAAATGGTTCTGTTCATACATACCTATACATATATTTTTATATTTACAGGAACTTTTAGTACTCATAGGACCCCACATACATAACATCAGGAACATTTCCTTAGAAAGGCGTACTTTGGCTTGCATATGGTATGTTGGAAATACTGAAACCTTCAGAAGTGTTGCTGACAGATTTGGCATTAGTAAAGGGAATCTCCACTATTATATTGCAAAATTCAATGCCGTGTTCAGAGACCACGATATCCTCCAGCAACTCATTTCTTGGCCAAGAAATGAACAACAGTATAACAGCATAGCAGAGGATTTTTCACGTAGAGCAGGTTTTCCGAGCGTTGTGGAAGCTCTAGATGGGACTTATATTCCAATTAGTGGGCCGTCAAATTATAGAGACTCCTACATTTGCAGGAAAGTTTATCCAGCCATGCACTTACAAGCAGTCTGCGACAGTGATCTGAAGTTCTTGGATGTATTCTCTGCCTACCCTGGTTCTGTGCACGATGCACGAGTATTCAAAAATAGCCCTCTTTACCAAGCACTTCAGGAGCTCCCTCCAAAGTTCCATCTACTTGGAGACTCTGCCTACCCTTTAACAACTTTTCTCTTGACACCATTTCGTGACAATGGTCATCTGTCTACTGAGCAAAAATGTTACAACAGTGCCCATAGCTCAACACGTGTAGACATTGAAAGATGTTTTGGGTTACTTAAAGGTAAATTTCGAAAACTGAAATTTTTAGACATGCATAAAGTTGAAGAAATTCCAAGCATGATTATTGCATGTTGTGCACTGCATAATTTCATCATTATGCATGAAAAGGATTATGAGCCTGATATTGAAGTTGAAATTGAGCAGATAGGTGAGAATTTGTTACATGATTTTGATAATGATGAGGGAGAAAGTGTCTCTGGACAGTGCAAAAGACAAGAGATCATGCACTTGCTAGCATGAAAGACTAGTTTGTCGTACCTATTTATGCTACTGTGGAAATCTGTTCAAGTCATATATGGCGTATTTCTATGCCTCCGTATCAAAGATTCGGGGGTATATAGTTTTGCCCTGTCTGTCCGTCTGTCTGTTTGTCTTCAAAAACGTTATCATTGCCCGTAACTTTTGATTAGTTGGAGCTATGGCTTTAATATTTCACATGTGTATTCCTTGTGACAAGACCTTTCTTTGAGTACCATCATTTTTGACCTTGATCTTGGAGTTTGACCCTGGCAGTTTTGCAGAATTTTACCAAACTTTAACCTTGGCCATAAATAGGAACATAGTATACTTTCTTCACTTGAATTTTATTTTACTAGAACTCAGAAATGCTGTATAACATTAAACATTTTTTCCAAAAATTTAAATCATAGTACATTTGAATCTTTTTGAAGATTTGAAATTCAAAGTAGACTTTGGTAAAATTGCATTATTTAGTTCCTAAAGATATCCATCATGGTAGTACTGTGTATAGTTTTGTCTTTATAATAGTTTTAAGCTGTATTCTGAAAAAAATAGATATGACAGTAAAATAATCAGTGTCCTTGGTTCATTGGTAGCTATTGTTATTTTATCTTGTTAACTGATATAAATTATAATTTAACTATTAATGGATCAATAAAATACTAACTTCAAACAGATTGTGGTATCTTTCAATCATTTTATCCATTTGAAAGGACATTGTTGTAGCTGTTAAATATTTATCTGTTTTGTTAGGGTACAATTGATTACATATGTTTTACCTATTTATTCAATGCTTCAGCTAGATGTTCTAAGGCCTGTACCCTTCTTTCCTCAAGGTTTAATCTCTGCCTGTCCAACTCCATCCTCTCCTGGTGCATTTTCTTTAATTCCATTCTGTAATCTGTCACCCAGCCCGATTCTTTTTCAGATTTTCTTTTTTTAGGCGAGGATGGAGTTGGTTTCAGGGGTACAGACTTTTGCGTTCCCAATACACTTAAACTAGATGCGGCAGCCACTGGCTGAACAGCAGGGTCCCCATGTAATACTTTGTCCATAGCATCAAAGTATTTCCAGCACTGTCGACTGTTCCCAGTTTTATTATTTCTCTCCTTGATTATTTTATACCTATATATATATATATATATATATACATGTATATATATATATATATATATATATATATATATGAAAATTAAAAATAACAAGGCAACAATGTTAGTAAAACGTAAGCGCTTTCATTATACTTCTTCAGACGTTTTACAATTCAAAACACGTAAAAAACATATATATATATTTGCGATATTATGTATATTTCACAAGTATTTTGCTTATAAAATGTGTGGATAGCTAGAGCATTCAATACAATGTTACACGGACAGGGGGTCAAAAGGTTAAATATGTCTTTTAATTTGACATCACAAACATTGAACAAAGTGCAAGTGCAATGTGGTCAGCGAAAATCAAAATTCACGTTCTCATTGAACAGAAGCTGTTGCTTTGGCTCTTCCATTAATTGTAACTTACCCGATGGATAATACAGTTAATTTGTCTGCAAAGTCATTTGTGTTATGACATGTTGAGCGTCCAACACTTACAATTCAATGCTTATATTTATATTTACACATTTCATGTTGATGAAATATTGTTTCGTTGAAAACTAGTTTAGTGTGCTCCTTAAAATGATACATACCCCACTTGTACAGCTAAATTGAAGGCTCAGCCATTACTGTTGAATGTGAACCTGAATTCTGATTTATTTTTATGACATTGCATTTTCAGGGTCAAAGTTTGTAAAGTCAAAATAAAAATCTGCATGACCACATTTTGTCCGGCATCCATCTTTCTGTCCATCAGTAAACTTTTCACATTTTCGACTTCTTCTCAAGAACCACTGGATCAATTTCAACCAAAGTTTGTTCAAATGAGGGCCACACTTTCTTCAAGGGGGAGATAATTACAAATAAGTGTAAAATAAATGGTATCTTTTAAAAATCTTCTCAAAAACCACTGGGCCAAAAAATGCGAAACTTATATTGAAGCATTCTCAGATTGTGTAGAATCAAGTTTATTCAAATCATGACCCCTAGGGTAGGGTGGGGCCCCTAGGGCTGATCAAAGTTTTACATAGGAATACATACAAAAAATCTTCTTCTCAAGAACAGCAAAGCCTTGACTGGTCATGTTTAAATGGAAATATCCTCAAGTAGTGTAGATTCAAGTTTGTTCAACTCATACCTCGTCCCCACTTTTATATTTAAACTTTTCAATACTGTACTCATTTCTGCTTACTCCTAACCAAAGTGCTCAGGTGAGCAATGTGGCCTATGGGCCTCTTGTTTCAAGGAGCATTGCAAACTTCGATTGTAAACCACACTGAGAACTATTCCTGTTTCCTTTTGAAAGGTATATTTTGCTAACCTCATTTTCAACGACCTGTACTTCCTGTCACACTCATCCCCAGAGAAACTGTGACCTTTGCTGCACATTTCTTCTGAAATTTTCCTCCATGCCTGCTTTTGTGTTGTTGTATTGGAGGAGAATAGACTAGAGGATTCTGTCCTTAAATCAATTAGTAGAAGTACCGCCTCGGTACTCCATTTTGAATCTATAAAAGTAATTTTCTGTTTCAAAATTAATCTTTCATTACTCAACAATTACTGGTAAACTTAAAATTTCTTTAAAATTATATTTCTATTCAATCTTTGTTAAAATAAACCATCATACTAAAATCTTTTTACTTAAACATAACTGGTTAAAGAAAGATAAAACAAAATCATGACATTTGATGAAAAAGAGCCAAGTTAAAAGGACAAGACATGGAAGTGTTCAGTGGTTAGCAAAATTATGGAGATCTTCCAAAATACACACTACTTCTGACTTTAAAACTAAGCAGTGGTGGGATTCGAACCCACAGATCTACATTAATGACAATTAGCAACACATAAGGGTATTTAGGAAAGGGTATTGAAATAACATAAGGATGGACAAGGATTACACACAAAGCTAACCATGCAGAATGCTCTACAAAAAACAAAACAAAACAAAACAAAAAATAAATAAATAAACATTTACCAGAAAATGGTTCTTATATAAGAAAGCATCTTATAGCAATAAAGTTTAATTTAATTTATTCAATTTCACTTTAATTCTGCTATAAAAAAAAATTGAATTGCTCCTACTCATATAAGAAAAAACTGAAAATACACGTAAAGCATGCACACAAATAATATGAGAAAACAATGTAAACCACAAAGTAAATAACCTTCTTGTTTCTCAGATCCTTCTGATGGTTGTGCCACTGAAAAAGGATTAACTTTAAAATTTTTTTAAACTGGTCACATGGAAAAAGTATGTTAAATATCTTAAATTAGTTTTCCAAATTTTTGCTCATTGTATCATTCCCCAATGGTAGAGATTTAAGAGGGGCATACCTACCATGCATCCCCAATAAATTTGTCGCATTCATTAATTTGTGGTTTTATCTCTTTAAAAAGAAATAAATTATTAGATAAAGCGGTATAAATAAAAGACTTATTTCTATATATATTCTTGCAAGCTTGGGGGCGTTATTTCCAGGGCTCTGTTTTCACATACCTTAAAATATATTCATAGTTTTATTAATTCTAATGAAGACAAAAAATAGTAAAAATATCTACATGTACTTAGAAGACTATTTCTGCATGCCCTACTAAATCCCTAGAATTCAGGGGGTCTAGGTCCCTGCCTTATCACCCCCCTTCAAATTCTGGATCTGTCCTACTAATTCCAAACATCAAACTAGAATTCCCCAAATATTTAAAGTAAAACATCTTATTCCCTTATTATTCTTGATATTTTATTTTTAGTTGCATGAAATCTACTTTGCTTTTTATTTGATTTATGATCATTACACATTTTAATATTTTTACTTAGAAAAATATCTAATTTTCAAGTATTTTGACCATATATAAAGAATATGGAGAAAATATTGTCTCAGAGTCAGTGGGAGATTGCCCTTGTCCTGTTCTCCTCCATTTTTTATCCAAAAGTTTTATATCATAATTTGCCAAATATTAATTTTATAAAACCTGTTGTGGTGTTATTAATTTCCTCCTGATCAGGAGTCTGTTCAACTAGAGAAAATAAATATAAAAAAAAATATGTGAATAAATAAACCAGAGTAGCACTTATAGTATTCTCATAAACATAGCAATATTCATACATAGCTTATAAAATGCAGGCAAATATATAAAAAATAACTTTCTCTTACCCTCTGTTCCTTCAGTTTCACTACAATTAACAAGAGATTTATGTGACTATTACTAAGAGCTAGACTAAGTCTACTTATACTCCCATACACATACCAACCATGATTATGTGGTAGTTGTACTTTTTATTTTTAGGATATTTATTTTAATTAATTTTGTGTATTATTCTCATTCATTATTTTATTCATTTATTCATTCACTCATTCATTCAGCGCTGTACAATGCGATATACTAACACTCTATTTTGTCTTTGTTCAGTGTCTGTAATAAACCTAAACACCCTTATTTTAAATAATGTAGCATAGCACTCCTGGTAGACTACCAGGTATTGTAGGAGATAGGTTATAGCATTATTGATTTTAACATTGATTTCTATTGGTCTATTAGGGGGGAACATATGTTTACAGACAAAAAACTACAAAAATGCTTTTTTTTCATCAATTTCAAAGGGTTTTACAACTAAAACATTGTATTTTATTAATAATATTTGTTTTACTTTATATGCGGAAAACATAAGAAATGATTTAAGGAACATTTATTCATATCCAAGAATATTTTAAAATGTGTTGATGCTTTAAAGCCTGATTTCAATGGAAAATATCGTCTACCCCCCTTATTGTAAGAGCTGGAATTAAGGGTAATTACTATTTAACACTGGCATTAAAATTATCAGTCAATTACCATTTAACTGTTTTTTGCATTCAACAAAAGATTTTACGGTCAAATTGCCATTTATACTGAATTAAATGGGTGTAAAATGTAGGCGGGAATCGAGAGTTAGCGTGCATAGTTCTTTATTTATGTGTCCCAAATAAGGGATTTGTGAATTTGTTGTAATTTTACATATTGTTAAATAGGTCATTTTCATATCTGAGGTGATGTTTAAAGAATAGGAATTCACCTTGTTCCATAAACGGGTATGTTCTGATATAAGGCCATTCCAAGTTTTTTCTCTGTTTAGCATCCACCCAACTTTCAAAAACCTAGCTACCTATTCGCAAAAAACACACAAACTAAAAAAATGAAACACAGACTTTATAGTCATAATAATGAAGTAAATCAAAGGAAATGATTTCATTAATCTATTTTTCATGTAGAAAGTTATTTTCTTCAGCAAAATCGAGGTATTAAATACTTCAAATATTCCAATTATGACATATAGAAATATTTAGAGAGATCGGCAGAAATTTAAAAACTTGACCAAAATAATCAATTTTTGGCTCCTGATTCTGTTTGTTTTTCTGACATAGGGTGTCAAAAACCAAGGCGCACGCAGACGCTAAACATAGAAAAAACTTGGAATGGCCTAGGGCAGAAATGTGTACATATCAGATTGATTAATATAAATATTGTTTATAGGATATTTCTATAAATTAAGAGTAAAAGACTTGTATAATGGTTCAAAGAGCTAATTAACTGAGTGATATGCGACCTAATTATTTTAAATATTTAATGGTGACCTAGAAATAATTTTGTGTTAAAGATGCGTTTATTTGTTTGTATTGTCTTTGTATTGTATGTGTGTTTATATGTTGTTCTTATTGTAGGGTTGATCCTAAATATCCTAATCATGATCCTAATCATCACAATGTTCCAAACTCATATATAAACATTGGATCCACACCCGAAACCATCTTGTTCTTTTTTAATATAAAAACCCAAGAACCGGACACAATTACACAAAGTATATCAGTCTTATAAACAAATGTTTCATGTCAGATAGCATAATCTTTCACATCAGAAAAATATTCAATACATGTCCTCAAAAATGTGTAATTTATTGATAGAATGCATCATACTGACACCATGATCCTACACAAGTGCCTGTGGTTTCACATCATGATCATAGACTTGCAGGGGACATCCTGTCTGACATCAGACATCTGTTTATAAGACTAATACTGTTGAACAGTTCAAAAGAACTGTTTTATTTTTCCGTCGTACATACCTGGAAATAACCCTAACATTACTCCTCCCCAGTAGCTCTGGTTGGACTGGCGAAACTGTCTGTTTTGGGCACGAATGATCATTAAAGTGATGGAGAGATAAAAACACATTATTGCATATGGAACAAAGATATAACTGTAAATTATTTGAAGCCATTATTGTGAAAACTGTTCTCTAAGCAAGATTGTCAAGTCTTGAGACTTACTTTCGAGGAAAGCAGACGGCAAAGAAGCAGACGATCTGGCGAAAGCATGATATGACAGTTTAAACACTTAATTGTAACCCTGAACTCATAAACAATAATCAGAGACAAAAAAGTGTTAACAAGTGCCACATCTACATGTCAAAAAGCAATCAATTACAACCATTTCGACTGTCGGAGTGTTAACTTCCCCTCTGTAAACAATAAACATAAATGTAAAACCTCTGACGTACTCTCATTCCGAAAAAAAGACATCGTACATTACAGCATATGTTAGCATTTCAGTTTCAATTTTCCTGCGTTTAAGTTTTCAATTCATTCTCCGCCATATTGTTTACAAGAAAGCGCTCGCATCCGTTCAGTTGACAGGTTGTTCTCGCGAGAGACAGTACCCGCGAGCGCTCGCGTTGTTGAACGCACCTCAGATGAAGATGAAGACTTCGACATAGAAGACAGCATTCCCCTAGCGACTCTAAGGGCACATGGACTAAACCCAGAAATGCTCCAGGCATTTACAACTATCGACGACGAGATCGAGACCTGTGCCGACCTTAGTGATAATGACATTGTAGAGGAAATCTTGATGAAGAAAACTACCGAACCCATGAACGAATCAGAGAAAAGTGACGATCCAAGTGAGCCCCTTATCCAACCCCCTAATTCAGAGGACACCGAGGCAGCGTGTGAGCTTGTGAGGCAATACCTAGTGTGCCGTGAAAACAGCAAAGACATTTTGCGTCACATGAATGTGATTCTTGACACTGTACGCAGAGACAATATTCTGAAGAAGTCGGCCCAGCAGTCACGAATTACAACTTTCTTCCAGAAGAAGTAAAGTGATGATGTGCTTTGTGTAAACTCTATGTCAATTTATGTAGTGTGACGTGACTCGGTGAAACAGATCAGACATTATTTATTACACATGTATTATATGTTACTGTTTATCATGAAATGAGAACAAATAAATATCGAAACTAAAAGAAGTCTTTTTATTCATACAAAATACGATCTTTGTGGTTAAAATCAAGTGAATTACCTGTTAAATACGAATGAAAAAGTGCATTGACAAATCCAGAATATTATCAACATATACTTCCGGTGTCTATAATAGTAGAACAATGATGATCGGAATTGAAAATTCCGGAATTTATGAACTTTCTATCTCTCGAACCCTTCGATCTCTCGAACTTTTTTAACGGTCCCTTGAACTTCGAGAGATCGAGAGTCACCTGTAGTTCCTATATCACGTATATATATATATATATATATATATATATATATATATATATATATATATATATATATATGAGCACCTGTATTTATATTTTTTCCAATAGATTGATGCATTTATATGCTTTCTTTTTTCTGATCATGAGTGCTGAGCATCACTTGTGAAGGAAAACACCTTAAAGAGCGTACCAGACACCGCAACCCTGAAAACAGCAAATTACGTACAAGCTATAATTCGACGCCGTGGAATGAAAAGGTCGTAACTGTAATTTTATGATTTTACAGGAGAGGAAAAAAATGTTATAAAATAATACTATCAATTCAAATTCATTCTTTACGGTAACTATGCATTCAGACTTATTATTTTTAACTAATAAAGAAAAAAATTACATAAAATATGCAGATATCGGGTAGAAATTCATAAAAATATTAAGATACGACCTTTCATTGCTACTGTTGGATAATGTAAAAGGTTGTATCTGCCAGTTACGACCTTTTTTACCAAGGGAATTGCAGTTACGACCAATGATTAACTTAAACATATTATACAAGTTTTTTTTTTAATTTAAATAAGATTTTTCTGACTGGCATGCCGTAACATGTATTTTCTTTGCTAATGATCTTCGTTTAACATATTTTATTTTAACTGTTATAGTTTTGGTCAATTTATCAACTATGTTAAGACAATTTACGTAAGGTAAACGAGAATCTTTTTCATCTTAGTCAATGTAGATTTTAAGGAGAGGGCCCAAATAGGCAGATTGCCAGCTTCCCAGTCCGTGTTGTATTATATTTTACATAATAAAAATATTGTATAAAAAGTGTAGATTTTTTTAATTACGAACATTTATCAAATTGAATTCTACATTCAAAAATAAGATTGACAAAGCAGTTTCGTTTAATTATAACAACCATAATAAACTATGAAGGAATGCAACAGCTATAAAAATTCTTTGAAAAGTTAACAAAAAAAATAACTTCAACAAAAAAAAAAATGAAAATGAAATTCACATTATTATGTAATATAATTATTGCCATGTTTAACTGTCAACATGACAATTATTGATACAGTTCAAATAAATGAATCATGTTTTACATGCACTAGTTCATTGCATTAAACTGCATCAGAATCTGACTCGTCTGATGAATGGGGCTCTGGCAATTTATCAAGTTTCTTATCATGAGGGAGCTTTTCATAAAACACGTGATGTTTGGATGGGATAAGTCCTTTGTTACACAGGCTCATGAGATCTGCATGTTTCTGTGCAGAAATGGACAAACGTGTTTTATACAATGTTTTAAGTTTGTAGTCTTTTAGGGTAACTGTTCTTCTCCTACCCTGACATACATCAAGCTTTTTATAGTTGTCACTGTATTCATACTTAAAATATATGATGTTGGGTGTTTCTTTTTTATATTGAAAGCTATGGATCTTGTTCCAATGGACGTTTTCTCCGTTGACATCTTTCTTTCGGTTTGAAATGACTGACGATGCACATTCTTTGAAGTCAATCACCATGTGGTTTCTGATTTCTGTCACATTGTACTTCGGAGGATTTTGTTTAGCATTCTTAATTCCAAGAATCCAATCGTCAGGGCTGTACATTTCTAAGCGTTTTGTAGCATTTTCTATTGTTGCATGAACAGAATCTCCCTCCATTTGGGAGTGACCTCTTTCAAAGTAATTGTGGGTTATGGTTTTGATTGGCAAATTTGTGACAGAATACAGACACATAGTACAAAATTGCAGATTTCGCTGCTGCCCGGTGCAACTATCAGAGTAATAGATGACTTCTTCCTTTTCCCCTGCGCTTCTGTTATGCAAAAGAAGGCAAGTTGCGATTTCACAACTTCCACGCTTGGCCTGACTTTCGTCCCAGACATAACAGTTTACATTTCTGCTGCTCAAATCGTATGTGGTGAAATTATATGTTGCCAATTTTCTGCTGTAGTAGGCATCACTTACAAATAATTTTGGAGTCACAAGCACCTTCTGTAAATCAAAATTGATCACTTGGATTTTTTCGTCAGTCAAAGAACGCATTTTGTCTTTAGCTTTCTGTTCTCTAGCGTTCTGTTTTCTTTTTAGGTGTTTCTCGTTTTCGTGTTTTTTTATTTCCTTGTCCTCGGGGGATAGTTTTTCATACGAGTCGCAAAATGTACATACATCCTTTTTGGGATGGTGGAAACCTATATTGAATTCGGTTCCGAATATTTTGTCGTAGGGCCAGTACTTAACTGGAGTTCTTTCTTCTTTTTCACATTTCTGCTTGTACAACTCGTACATGTTTTTAATTGACAAATCTTTTCCCAAATATTTTCTAGACGTTGTTTTTCTACAATAATGTGAATCGACTGTAGGAAATGATTTAATATGTTCTCTTACGAACTGCCGATCATCATCAGATATTTTGTAAATTCCAGGCTTTCTTCCTCTCTTGTCCTCAGGGCCGATTTCTTCTTTATTGGTCAATGTGTATGATACAGTTTTTTCTCCAATACCCAGAGTTTTTAAGAAAAAGATTTTGCATACTTGAGCTGTTTCAGTTTCATTTGAAAGCCTGTATTGGTAAGTATTTTTTCTTCTAGAATCTCGTTTTGTTGTTTTTCTGGCTTTTTCTTCTTTTCTTACATGGCGTTTAATAAAGTCTCTTTGACTGCTGTAACTGTTTCCCCAGTAGTTCTGAAAGATGGTTTGCTGATTTTCTTCTGAAATTTTATCTGCACATTTATACTTGCATTTACAATTTGGTCTTTGCATCGTTCGTCTTTGTATTCTTTTTCCTTTACATGATAGATACTCTTCACCAGCATTACGTTTCCTTTTTCTTATATTTTGTTTCCACTTTTCTGGTTCTTTTTTGTGTCGACGGGATCTAAAGGGCCTTTCTTCTTGATCAGATTCCATTTGAGAAGACTTAGTGTCTGTGTCATCATCGAGATCACTTCCAGTTTCTTCATTTTCTTTATCACTTTCTTGCTTTGAGTCAGTTCCGATGGTCAAATCCTCGTCATGAATATCTACTTCAAGTATAACTTCATTTCCAAGTATCATGTAGAATGATGTTTCTGAGGCAGTGTCTGGTATGTCAAAGAGCGGACGCAGTACATCAAGGTTGAGAGAGACATCATTTAACTCTTGAACTTCTTCATCATCAACAATATCAGTCTCATTCATGTCAAAAATTCCGTCACACTCCATTGAATCAACATCATTTTTGTTGGAGACATTTTCCTCAGATAACTCAGTGTTAACACAGGATGATTCAGAACTAGCATGGTAGACTTCCACATCACCATTTTCACATGTAGATCTAAAATAATCTAAATGATCCACTGTATGAACATTGAATTGTTCCTGTTTATCAGAAACGTGTTTCTCACTAGTACTTTGATTGTTTTGACCTTCTTTTATGGTTTTTGCCAATATATTAAGAGGAATATCATCTTCAGTATCACATATACTGGTATTTTTAGTTTGTAACTTTGCCTTCAATCTACTAAGTGTTAAGCTTTCTTCTTCATCTGAATCTATATCTACAGCTGACATTTTGCGTTATGCTGTTGATTAAGATGATCCCTTATTTCTTTGTTTATTTGTTTTTCTTTAAATTTGAGGATGTCTATTCGGTTTTGATCATTAAATAAGTGTGTGATCCACAAGTTTCGAATGTATGG